TTTTGTGTGAGAATACAAGATAATTCTACTGATACTCTACTGGATCCATACTAGTTAGGCTTGGTACAGGTGTTACCTCAACACTAGATGGTTAACTTCAAAATTAACTTAAGAGCAACACTGTGGTTGGATGGACATGGGACAGGTGATGGCTCTGGATCAGCAGGATCAGTCAGATGTCATCTCAAGACTGGAGAGACCTGAGTTACATGATGGCTCAGGATCAGCCGGATCGGCGTTAACTGTCAGCTCGACACCAGATGGACATGGATCAATTGATAACGTCCATTCAATGCCGGACAGAGCTGGCTGGATATCCGCTGGATTGCAGCATAGATTTGAGGTCAACATGTTGCTGATGGAAAGTTTCATAGCCTTCCATGTTCGCTTGAAGAATGCCTTGATGCCTTTCTTTATCTTCTTCCTCATCTTTGTTTGTTTTTCTAAAAACAAAATTTAAATTAATTAAAAAAGCAAAAGACATTTCCACCAAAAACAATCTCAACACCTCCTTATAGGTTGCAGCCTGGCATGAACACAAAAGCACTTTGTTTGCTTTTTGTGAACAAATGTTGCTTTTTTACATAAAGGTAAAGTTTTTTTTAAGAGTACTAGCTTAGATTTTCCATTGCAATGACAGTACACTAACAATGACAGTAGACTCACCAGCATCTGGCTCAAAACCGGATGAACCTGGGATAGGTTTTGGCTCTGAATTCCCCGTATCACTGTCAGGTGTCAGCACGACAGAGGATAGACCTGGATCAGTCATTAACTCACAACCAAGGCTAGATGGACCTGGTTGGGAATCCACTTGATCTCGGTGTGTCATTGGCTCAACAACAAGTAGATCTGGGGTCACTTTGTTGCCCCTGCCGCAGGAGAGGGCAGCATGCTTAACAGCCCTCTGTGCTCGCAGGAACAATGCACGAATGCCTTTCTTCTTCTTCAGTTTTTTCTAGAAAAATAAATAAAGAGATAGAAATAATATTACCACCAAAAACCATAAGTCAAATACTGAGACAAAACATAATGAAGAAGAAAATCATAGGATGAAGTTAGGTGCTACACCTGGTAAAGCTGGACACTTCATCATCTCTACTGTTATTTTATAATATTTCATAATAGAAATCAAACTTAAAGTTAATCCTCAACTAATATGATGCAAAAAAAATCCTTAGTTGTGACCTCATTTCAGGGGGCATGTCATATCACATTTGGACAGAATGAATATGAAATATGAATATGAAAAATAACTTTAGCATAAATACAAACTTTATAATATAAATTCAAAGAAAAAATTGAATGATTACAGGATAACTCAAGAATTAAATGCTTTAATTAAAAAAAACTGTCAGAGGATGAAAAGACTGAAATACATAAACTCAAGAAAATTGATAAGTTATACTCAGAATTTGCTAAAGGAGCTTATGTGAGGTCAATTCGGTTTTGGAAATAAATGTATTAAAACAGTTAAAGTGGTCTACAAATGAATTAATAGCTCAATTATATTACAGGTTGATACCTCTAGGAGATATTATCAATCGGGGGGTGTTTACCGAATGCATTGTTAGCTGGTCGTAAGTTCCACTGAACTCTGTTGGTAACGACGACACTTGCGACCAGTTGCTTTTGGATAATGCACCCCAGTATAGTAAGAAAGAGTAATTATTTAACATTCCAGTAAAGGAATGTATGAAATATTTAAGAATTTTATCAAAAAAGTAATCAGTTAGGCAACAGCTTAATTTTAACAACAAAGTTAAGAAAGCTAAATTAATATTTGATAATGGATGCAAAGAAATGAATAGGTTGCTGGTTACTTTTTGCTGGAAAAATAAACACAGCCATCTTAAAAAAGTAGTGATTGCTGGGAAAAAATCTGAAAAAGAATTTGATATGCTGGATTATGTGAAAATAAAAAATGCTTCCTAGATCAGTTGGATCAAAACATTATTGGTGATCCTTATCTATATTATTCAGTTCTTTGATTAACTTGGTCATAGTGTTGGTCTTTAATGAACTGGT